GCATGGCGCTGTGGATGCACCACGTGGTCCAGGAGAGCCCGCGGCGCTACGGAGGAGGAGGGACCCCAGCGGCTCAGCACTTGTGTTGGCGACGCTCGGCGGTCGGACGGGGGGGTCTGGTGCCTCAGGCCCCGCGGCCGCGCCCCTATCTCCTCCGCCTTTGGGTTCCTTCCTGCCCCCTCCTCCCTTTTGGTGGAATTGGCGATTTTCCATGAACGCCTTCCTTCTCGAGTCGGGCCAGACCCGTCAACATGCGGCCTCATTGAAATCGGGCCCGTAGCACCTCTGAACCTGAGCCTGGCCACGGCGCCGCTCTCGCTCTTCTCCCCCTCGCCACATCTAGACTCTGGCACCGTTGGGCTGAGCGCTTAGCACCGCTAGGTTGAACCTCGCTCCCTCCTCTCTCGCCTCGTCATCGTTCCTTTTTGGGGGTGCGCCTCGTCGCTGGCGCGCGGGTGGACTGTCGCCTTCCACCTTGGTTGTCGGCAGGAGGGGAGTGCTGGTTGAACAGACTCCTGTGAGCATACGGTCGGGAACTTTTGGATAGCGTCTCGCTCCGCTGGTTCAAGCCCACCACGGTTCGTCGCGACACACGAATCTATGTTCCCATGTCCAAGCGACACAGTTCCGAGCCTTTCCGAGCCTCCCGCCCCGCGGAGCGGAGCGACACGCTGCCCGCTTACAGGGCATAGCGTGTCGCTGGGGCCGCCTCGGCGACACGCTAAGCAAAAGTTCCCGACCGTGCTTGCAACGGTGCGCAAGAAACCGATGCCAGGCCTTCGTAATCCGATGGCCCAACAGCAGGCGGAGGCGGAGGAAAACGAGGATGAGGACGGTGAGGATGTGGAGGAGGAAGGGAAGAGGAGGAGGAGGGGGAAGAGGAAGAGGAGGAGGAGAAGGAGCAGGAGTTGGAGGAAAAGGGGGTGAAGGAGGAGGAGGAGGAGGACGACGACGATGGGGAGGGGGTGGAGGAGGGGAGAAAAGGTGAGGAACACGAAAAGTAGGAGGAGGAGGAGGAGAGGAGGAGGAGGAGGAGGAGGAGGAGGAGGAGGAGGAGGAGGAGGAGGAGAGAGCCGGCCTGTTACGCGGTTCTGGTTCGACCGGGCGCCGCGCTTGTGCAAACAAATCACGCGCGTGGGGCACCACTTTGCAAATCCACCTTGCACAATCGGTTCCGCCTCCGCCCCTACGTTCCTCATCTCGCGTTCTCTGCCTCACCCTCAGTTTCCTCCTCCTTCTCCTCCACCTCCTTCTCCTCCACCTCCCCTTCCTCCGTGGCGATTTTGGCTCAAGTTGAAACCTCGGGGCCCTGGGTCAGACCCTGTTTGTCGAGATGCGGCGCACGGTCGACGCCGAGGTTTCCTCGGCCATCGGAGTCATGGTCGACGCCCTCGCTCCGTCCATCGCCGATGACATGGAGTCCAACGAGGCCAACTCGGAGGCCGCGGCATTGGCTCCCACGCTGGCTCAGTTTGACGGAATTCGCCTCAATGCGTCGTTTGTCCTGCACGGGTTTTTTATAATCCGATATCATTGGAGTTTTATTGTCCAGCGCAGCGACTGTTTGAACAATGCGAATATAGACCTTTTGGATTCGCCCCAGCACCAGGAATTAATGACGCCAGCATCAAAGAATGTCTTCGTCTTTTGCGGTGTTCACGCGATGTTGACCTTTCTCGATTTTGCGATCGATGTGTTCGGCGAGGGCTTCACCGAGGATCTTGCGTGGACCCGCCTTGAATCAGCAGTGCGGTTCTTTGCTTCTGTGCTGAGATCGGCGAACCTGCCAGCAGCAAACCGACAGGCACCCGTCCTGCCAGCACGCGCCAGTGTTTTGATTGGATGGGTACTCGATTATGTGAATGAAGTGGCCACCGTGTCCCAGGATAAATGAGAGAAAACGCGCAAGGCCAGCGCAGAATTTGTTGGGAAGGACGACGCTCGCGAGCTCCGTGCCAAGGATTTGTCGCGGCGGGCTTGGCTTCGCATCTTGGCGAACTGCAGCCAGAATCTCCGCGACGCCTACACCCTGTGTGGGCAGACCTCAATGCAGCAGGCGTTTATGCCCTGTGGATCCGCAGTCGGGTGAATATGGCGCAGCGTTTCGTTGCTTTGGCAGAACAGCTAAGACGTGTTCTGCACAATCTGGCCGGACAATTGAGCAGCTGGGGCCACGCATCGCCCGAGTACGGCCGGTGGCTCCAGCTTGCTCAGGACGGATTCATCTGCGCAGTTGAGACAGACGTGTCTGAGCCGTCTGGGCAGACAGGGTGGTCCTGCCATCTACATCGTTCAGGCAAATCCGCATCGGGTGCGTGGCCTGCCAAGTTGGCTTTTGACCTGACGGAAAATTCGGTTGATTATATAGACATCAACTTGACAAAACATGTGGGCGATTATCAACTGCATAAAAGGTCAGCCAGCGGAGTTCGATGGGTGGCGCGCGCTGTTTCACGCAGACAATACCTGTGCTGCGCATGGCACGAACGCGAGAGATGAAGCCATTCCTACTTTAGAACAGTTCGCTTCGAAACGTGAGCTCTTCGAGAGGCGCGCCTCTTGCTGGGTTCTTGCGACTGACGCCAGTGACGCGGCCAACAGACGGGCCGATCTCGATTCCCGCCATGTTCAGTCTTCCGCGCGCTGGAATTCAGATCGCTTCCGCGCCGCTCGCGCGCGAGCGGCAGTTTCACGGGATATCTTCGCGCGCGCCAGCGCGCGCTTCACCGTTGATTTTGTCGCTGACCGCGCATGTCTCACAGCGAAAGCTCCAGCGCGGCGCTCTCAAGAGTGCTCGGCGCTCGGCGCGCGGTTGACAGGGAGGGCGGCGCGCCCCCCCCCCCCCCCGGAGAGCTGCTCAAAGCAACGCTCGAGTTTTTTTGTTCAACGCAGGTCTGCAGATACCTAACGGCGGGGGCAAGATTACGACACCCACCCCGCAATACAGATGCCAATATGCGTTCATTACTCGTGCCGCGAAATTTGCCTCGGGCCCCAAATATGCCGACTTCGGGGTGTCGCAGGGGACGTGTTGGACGAGTTGCCGACGCTTCGCGGAGGCCGCCTGCGCGGGGGCCCAACGAGCCCGCCGACTGCGCGCGGCCATGCAGGTCGCCGCCAGCATCGATGATGCTCGTACTCGTCTGCACGGGCGAGACCGGCCCTCGCGAATCCGCTGTATTTCCAGAGTCGTTTCGTTTTTCCGCGGGACAGCGGGCGCATGCAAAAGCCACCAAAAAGCATGATGCACACCCGCCCACACGAAGTACACCCCCGCCCAGAAGTTTATACACCCGAGCAAAACTATAACACATGTTTCAAGAAAACGACGTATACACCCACCAAACCCAGCGCTTGGAATATTGGCGTATTCCTAGAGACGAAAACCTTCCAGCGCTGAGTCGCCACGTCAGTGCCTGCGGCGAGAGCCGCGTGGCTGGCCCATACGAGCAAGCCGCGGATTGCTTGCGCGCGCTCCAGGACGGAAGCTCCAGGTTTGTGCGGCCCCGCGCGCGTGGCTTGTTCGGCCATGTGCATTTTGTCAGTCTTACCGACGATGGAAATGCGACGTCGGGATATCATTCGGGGCCATCCGCAGGCTCTGCCGAATATATGCACACATGGGCGCTGTAAGGCAGGGTGGGCGTCGACATTGAGCTCCCCATAACACCGCCAAGATTGTTGTTCTGTGCCCACCACGAGATCGGGGTGCACCCTGATTCCGCCCTATAGCTCCAGACGCGACCCCGGCGCGATCGTGGCCAGCGGGCTCGGGCTCGGACTTCGGCAGATTTCTCTCGGGCTCTGCGTTTGGCGCCAGTCGTGGAACTGACTCGCCTCGCGCGCCGCCGCAGCGCTGGGGGCCGAATCGGCGCGAGCGGAAGCGCGAGGAAACATCGCATCAGTGCTCAGTAGGATCCGGCAGTACCGGGGCCACGCTCCGCTCGCTGGCCCCCCTTGGTTCGCCGCGGCCGTTTCAAGTTTCCAGTCCGAGATGACAGCCAACGCCCCCGCTTCGCGCCCGCGTTCCGGCGGCCCCCGCAGCCGCGCGCAATGGCCGAAGCAGCCTCGCATGCAGCCGCCGCCGCCGCCCACGGGCCGGGCGGCGCAGTCGCGACGGCGGTCGCCGCTGAGATCACGAAGACCATCCAGCGAGGTGAGCAGGGCGCCCTTGCCATCGCTGCCGGCGCAAGCGCGGCCGCCGCCGCGCGGTCGGCGCCGGTTGCAGTTGCTGCCTGGGAAGATCCGGCTTCGGAGTTGGCCAAACTCGCGCAAAAGGAATGCGACCAGCGGGCGCGGCGCGGCCTTCCCGCGCAGAGCTCGTCTGCGCCAGCTGTCCGCGGCGCGGCGGGAGGCTGCTCGGCGCGGCCTCGTCGCGGGCGAAGTCCGCCCCGCGCCCGCCTCGAAGGGCCGAGGGCGCAGTGCGCCCTAGGTGGCAGATCTCAAATTCTAGCTCCGCCGCGCCAACCCCGGCGGCCCGGGGACCTAACGCCTCCGGCGGGGCCCCGCGGCCATTTTCCCGGGGCAACCGCCCCGCTCGGGGTCGATCGGCCCGCGAGTTCCCCGGTTCTCCTGCCTGGGGTTCCCCGCGCAATCCGTTGCCCAATGCAGATCCATTTGAAATTGACAGCGCGCCTCGACTGGCGCGCGGAAGCCCATCGGAGCCAACGCAAACACACGCCGCCTCAGCACCGTCGCCGTGCTCTGGGGCAGTGCGAACTTATTGTTTTTCCGCGGCCGCGAGGGCCCAAGCTTTGGGCGACCGCGCTCGCGGGAACGATTTCACAGATACCGTCGGCGAGCGCCCTGCCCCCGGCGAGGGCCTGCCCCCGGGGCCCCCGCTTTCCGCGAGCGCAGCTGGCCCGCGCCAGGGAAGCATGTCCGCGCGGGGACCTGCGCCGGAGCCCGCCGCGCGACCCCTGCCGGCGGCGCTGGCGCGGCTGCCCCGGGCAGGCGGCGGCGGCGGCATCAGCCCCCGCGGGGCTCCCGGCGCATTCAGGCAGCAGCAGGGCCGCGCAAAGCGGACCTCTAG